AAGCACGCCAATATGACCCAAGTGTTAGGCTACAGCGTAGGGATCATTCCTGCTAATAGCGATCTGGGAGTTTAGTGCAAAAACGCATGATCGCACCTGATGCATTCCAGCCTGGGTTCCTTCTCGTGTAAACCAATTTGATTCCTCTTCTTTGTCTTTCTCCCTCCCTTATTGAACGTCATCTTTTCCCCTCTTGAGCATACCATTTTATTCTGCATCCTTTGCTGGAATGAACACCGGCTGATTGACCGGAATTTGCCCGTTAATCAGTTATGACCTCGTGTTAATAATTTTTCAGCTTTTTAAAAGGGCATCTTCTCAAACTCATTGCTAGAAAGTATGCAGGAATAGTTCTGAGAACCCAAAGCAAAAATAGAAATTCTTTGCATCCCGAAGCTAACAGTAGTGTTGTTTTCACCTTCAGTAATTTTAACTATTGTTGGTTTGCAAAATATTTGCAGTCCAAATATATACATGTGTCCTAAGTCTTGAAGAAAAAAAAAAAGAATCGGGAAATTTCGTGTTTCCGCAATACTGCTGTACCATTATGACCGTGACTGGAGTGCAAATTATTACCAGGATAGCGTGTGAATCAATCGGCAAGCGAACAGCACCGCGTCACACACCGTGGTCCGCGATCGGCCGATCCTCAGCTGTATGGGCAGGCATTTTCGCTCTGGTATGCCACGAATATCCGCTCGTAATTATGCTTCAATTTTTACCCAACTACATGCGCGATGTGTTACAATTTGCGCCTGCAAAAAACGGTATTGTATCAGCAGTGCCAATTGCCTGCTTATTTGTGAGTAAAACGCTCTCATCCAGCATTTCCACATGGCTTACAAAGCACACCGGATGGACAAAAACAAATATTTGCAAGGTATTTTTTTTTTGTTTACAACTTTTGCATCAGTATTTACATGATTCCATGGGACATCCTAACAAACTTTGGAAAAAAAGCATTACTTCAGTCGATTGATGATGTTTTCAGTTTCTATAGCTGAATTTGGCTCAAAATGCTATAAGTTAGGCGCAAAATAAACATTACGGCAAAATCCTAAAATTTCTTCACCAAATTCATCAGTTTTCGAAATGATCAGTTTTCTAGGAAAGCCTGTGAGAAGAAAATAATTTTTAGATGTTCAACGGGATTGCGTCGGCAGGGTTGTCGGTGTGCGTCTTGATGGTACCACAATTTGATAAAGAGAGATCATTTTTGGCAACAGCTGCTTTATGCGGTGCTATGCTTTTTGCGGGTTTGTTTTCTCAAAAAAAAAAAAAAAAAAAAAAAAAAAAAAA